TTGAGAAAAATTGATTACTGCTGGTATTGGTGGAACGCCACCTTCAGTCACTCGCACAAAACATCTTGGCTCCATTTTCTTCCTTGATTCACTTGAAATATTAGTGAATTCTCTAGAATTTTGCTTAGCATAGAATCATGCATTTCAGGTACTTAGCTGAACAATAGTTGGTATGTCTTCCTTGTCACAGCTACTCCTGTGATCTTTGTTATTCATAGTGATAATGAAGATTTGCTGATAATTCTTGGTGCAACAAGATAAAGGTCAGGTGCCCTCAGGAGACTTTTTGCATCTGTGAATGTGCCCAAGGCCTTCTCTTTTCTGTTTTCAGTAAACTTGTGTTTTTGTGAAACCTTGGTATAATCATTCTTCTTTTCTCTGCTCTCTTTCTCAGTGAAAAATAATGGTAACACTTGAGAAGTCCAGAGAAGGAAAGTTATCTAGGCACTTGTCCTTCAATGAGATTGATAGTGGAATCTGGAAATCTTGCCTGGTTCTGATATATTAAAGTTTACCTGGTAACAAAGGGCACAAAACATAGGAACATGCTGAAGAAGATCTAAAGGGAAGCTATGAGCCAAATTTGAAAATCTGATTTATGATCTTAATTTATATTTACATTTAGCTTTGTCAAAATGATCGCTAGATTGATGACTTTTTATAATATCTCAGGTGTATGAAATTTAAAAATTTCAGGTAAAACCAGCAGGCATCATGTCTTAACAAATATCCAGTCTTAATATGGATATCAGCCTTTACTCAGGAAGTAAGAGAATCTTTAAAATCCTATTCACAGTTGGAAATATAAATTGGATGGAAATTATTTCATTGTTAATCATGCTTAAAGGGAAATACTTGCATATTTAAATTACTATGCTCTCTTCATAGTATAGATATATTTTAATATTTTTTAATCAAATATTATGCCATATTATAATATATTCTTTCAGATTTTGACCAGCCTTTAGAAATTGTAGCCAAGTCATTTGTGTGTTTATTTGGACCGATCCTTGCTGGCTTATTTACTGACCTATTTGCCACCAAATAATTTTAGAAATGATCCCCTACAGCTCAGAGGCGATGGAAAGCTCTACTTCCTCTGCATAGGGATTTTGGTTTAAATCAGTGCTGATCAGTATTCCCAGGGACCTCATCTGTGGCAAAGTGGTTAAGGAACGGGACATGAAACCATGAAGAGCTGGATGGGACCACAGATGACCAAGTATGGGGCACTGAATCATTCTAGGTGCCCCCTCCCCATGGATGTCACCTCACAGGTCAGGTTAAAGTGGGGAACTTTGCCGTAGGTTGCAAAGCTGGTGGTATATCAGACTCCTTCAGAAAGACCAATCAGAAGCGCATCACTGGCTAGTATCTGTTCTTTTATGTTGGAGGTCCTTGTGATTGCCTGAGTAGAGTCACAGAATTATAGAACTGGAAGAGGCTAGAAATCACATAACTCAAGCATTGTGTATAACTGGAGAGATTTATGTCCAGAGAATGCAACTTACTCCACCTAAGCTTCTTGACTGGTACCTGATGTGGTAGAACCAAGCTGTATGGGGTTTTGGTGATCTGAGGTTTAAATCCTAAACAAGCACCTTTTTTTTTTTAATCAATTTGAGTCATTTGATGTCTGTGAGCCTCAGCTTCCTCTTTGGTGTAAGAATAAAAATTGTATTTACCAGTTTGGGGAAGGTTAAATAAGATCATACATGGGGCATTTTGATTAGTACCCAGTAGGGCTTCAGGAAAGACTAGGTCCTTGTTCCTTTTACCGGAGCACCTTGGACTAGACTCCTTCCTCATGGCAGACCTCAAGCAGGTCCTTCTGAGAGATGAACTTCGGCTAATAATCATGAACTAAGCAGGTACTAATACTAGTCCCCAGTGCTCAAGCCAAAATTCAAACTCAACTGCAAAGACTATTTCTCAGTCATTCCAAGGCCCCCTTCCACAGTAGCCGACTGAAATGAACGTCCCAAGAACCTCTCTTACCTCATTCCAGGAGGCCTAATGGCATCCCTAACACAGAGAAAAGTCTGGCTTATTTGGAATACAGAGACTTGGTCCCCACCCTTCTCCCCCCTTCCCCACCTTCAGCCCGCTCCTCATTTCCTCCACGTCTCCTTTCCCCACTTTCTACCCTCCCCTCCTTTTATTTCCCTTTCCCCCATGTGAATCAAATCTTGGACACGGCTATCAGTTCTCAGATACTATTTACATCATTATGCCTTATTTACATCTCATTGTAATTAGTTGGGTTATCCAGAGCTTCATCTCCTGGCTCTCCTCCTGGAATTCTTAGTGACTCTGTTATTTCATAACACACCTTTGGACCCTCTTTCCATATGGTTACTGTGTGTGACCACAGATGCCGTTAGCCCTTTCCTAGTCTCCTTATAGTCCCAATTTTTTCTGGGACTATCTTGTTTATTCACAGTTCCCTGTATCTAGCCATCCCTATTCACATGGCGAAAGAGAAATATGTATCTGTATTTTATGAATAGATGGATGCTGGCAAAAGGAAAAAAAAACTCTCATATACATCTTCCCAGGGATGCAGAGCTATACTTTACAGGCAGAAATATAGTTAACAGAGGAAACATAGCATATAACACACATATATGTCAATGCACCATTCGAATTTTTAAAAAGAAACGAGGGTCATGGGTATTTGGAGAAAGGTGTTTCTGCTGAGAGGTGCTGCAGGAGAGAGGTGAAAAACTATGCCAGCTCTTGTAGGAGGTAAAAGAAAAATTGTCAATTAAATGTAAGGACAGACAGTGAACTTCCACCTTGAGTATTTGTAGCAAAATGAAAAAGGATGGGGCATTTTTTTTAAAATAGCTTCTGTTATATATTTCTTTTTTTACAAAATGAGCATATGTTGATGATAGAAACATTAGAAAATGCCGATAATCAGAAAGAAAAAAGAAAAGCAGAAAAGAAACCACCCATCGCCCATATAACACTGATAATGCTTTGTCCACGTTTCTGATGTTTTTCAGTATTTTCACTTATCATAAGCACCTGTCCATGTAATGAAATATTCTCCTATAATACTTACGGCTTTGTAGTCTTTTATCAACGTGAAAATTTCATAGCACAAGTTCATAAACAGCTCAGCAGCACACACCTCCCTCTCTCTCTATGAATCTTTGTCAGTATGCCTTCCTTCTGCATGGGGCTCAGACTGGCCATGTCTTTACTGAATTTTTTTTTTAATTGAAGTACAGTCAGTTATAGTGTGTCAATTTATGGTGTACAGCATAATGTCCCAGTCATGCATATACATACATATATTTATTTTCATATTCTTTTTCACTCAGGGTTATTACAAGATACTGAATATAAATCCCTGTGCTATACAGAAGAAATTTGTTTTTCAGCTCTTTACTGAATTTTTGTATGGATTATTTGATGATCATACACCTCGGTTTGTTGTGTTCCTTTGAAAATACTATTTTTATTTATGCGTACTTTTTGAATATTTATTTTGATAGCTAATTCAGTGCAAAAATTGGGAGAAATTATATGCAATAGTCATGGCAATGGTTGTAGTATCCTAGCATATCCAACTTATAATAGCCAGTGCATCCTATTTGAGGAAATACACTGAGCCTTGTATGGCCTACATAAATTAACTTAATCAGTCATGATAATATTGTCATTAGGACTCAAGTACATATTCTGCAGGAGGAATATGTTGCATTTAAAGAAAGGAAAAATAGTGGCTGTATTTCAACTGGCCTGTGGATTTTTAAAAAATATTATCACTATGCTAACTGATACCAGTAGCTGTGTTCTTTGAGTGCCTACTCTGTATCAGATATTGAGCATGTATTAATTCAATTCTCACAGTAACACCTTAAGTGATTATACTATAACCCTATCTGCAAAAGAATTAAACTCAGGCACAGAGAGGGTAGTAATGAGCCTGAGGCTAAACAGCAAAAAGGATAAAGCTGGTATAGGAGCTCGGGCTGTCTGCTTGGAGCCTGTACTCACTCTTAACTACTACGGTTGGGATGCCTAGATGTAAGTGCTTTCCCAGTTAATCACAGTCAGGTAACTCCAATACCATGAAAGAGAATTCACATTACAGGATTTTGTAAGCATTTCCGCAAGGCAACTCACAAGTAAAACACAATCTACAGCGTGGAACTGCGAACTACTCTCCCAAAGTGTGACTGCTCACATTTCAAGGAATTCCATGACAACGTTAATTTAGAATTTTGGCTTTGAGAAGATATATTTTGGACTATATTATAAGATGTAATTCAGAAAATCAGTTAAGTCACATTTTAATTATTTAAAATTAAACAGGGTATACAGATGCCTGTTTGCAAATTTCAGTCAAACTTTGAGAAGTGATTTAAAGATCCATGATATTTAAATTTGTAGTTTGTAGCAGATACATCCTTTCTCAATATACCTGAATTCTCCTTGAGAATGAAGAATCGCTGTCTGTTGGGAAAGCAGTGGAGGACAGTGGTTTAGAGCATGGGCTCTGGCATCAGACTGCCCGGATCTACTAGGCCACTAGACATGCAATTGTGGGCAAAATTCTTAACCTAACTCTCTCTTCTAGAAAGTAGAGTCACAACAATCCCTATTCCGTAGGACTAATTTGAAGATTAAAAGTGAGAAATACATGAAAAACACACAGCACAGTGCCTTGTATATGTATAATGATAAATAAATATTAGTTAATATGATTGCTAATAATTATTGCTGGACCATCTATAAAGATGGGCAATTCTCATCAATTTCGACTAGTCCCGGTATATCCCTCTAGCAGGTGTCCAACCAAAATCAGTGCTGAATCTGTGGTCCAACTTGAGATAGCTCCTTACCCCACTTCTTCAGCCTTAGAAATACTTGACTGCAGTCCATAGTTCCCCTGCCTTTCGTAGTAAAGCGCAAGATGTATGCAAAATATTTGAAAATATGTTCTGGCCTGTGGTTTGCGTTTATGAATGGCTTTTATTCTTCAGGTCAGCTTCTGGAAGCGGCGGAGCATTATGAAGCCTTCCATCAATTGACGCAAGGGCGGATATGGCAAGACGAGACAGGCCACTTTCTCAACTTGTTGGCCTGCGAGAGTCTCCTGAGGACCTACAGATTACTCTCAGACAAAATGCTGGAAAATAAAGAATACAAACAGGCCATCAGAATTCTAATAAAAGCTTCTGAAATAGCCAAAGAAGGTGGGTAGAAAAGAGCACTCTCTTGTTGCAGCCTTTAATGGGCAGACACTGCTTCTCCCAAGAGGGAAGTAAAAATCGTCAAGTGTTTGGGTGATTATTTCCTATGAAATGCAGAGACAAATGCCATCAATATCCTTTCAAATTTCACGTAAAACAGAGGTGCCTTAGTGCTGACAATGAGAAATCCATTAGTTTCTTGAAAGCTTTATCTCCAAAATTGCAACCCTCTGGGAGTAATGTTATAAAACAATAAACCCCTAATGAGAAGGTAAGGTCATTTGCAAAAGTTAAGAGTGTGTGTGTGTGCTTAAGGTCATATGTTTCTAACAATCTGAGAGACCTTGCACTGTTTGTCAATTCCCTATTGTCAGGTAATAGAGAGGCTATGATAAATATTCAGTTAGGGATAACAGAAAGTTAGAACTTAAATATATTTTAGACCCTTGACTGTCAAAGTGTGTGGCCTTCAGAGTGGCAGCATGAGCATCACCAGGAAGCTTAAAAAAAAAATTCAGCCTCTCAGGCCCCACCCCAGATCGACTGCATCAGAATCTGAAGGTTTGCAAGATTGCCAGGTGACTTGGATGCACACTTAAAGCAGAGAAAACGTTTTTGTGAGAGCTGGTCACATCCTTAATATTCTGTATCATTTGCATATGTAAAAAATATAAAGAAAAAATTTGGAACATATATTCATAAGTTTTTACTTTGTGAAATGAAAGGATATTTTGTTATCTCATAGTAATTTATTAATCGAGTAGCCTTTTTGTGAAGGAGAAAAAATGGAAGTTATGCTCTGGAACTAAAGTTGATTAGCTTGTGGATATATTTAATGGATTGGTTACTGAGTAACAGATGGCTTCATTGGAGTAAACAGGACTGATTTTCTGGATTTGATTCTAATTTTTTTAAAGGGTGAAAGTAAAATCTTAGCTTATTCTCTCTATTACTTTGTAAAATAATATTAGTTGAAATACCCATAGGAAATCGCCCCCACTGAAAGACGTATCCCATTGAATGAACTGCTTTTGAGTGAAGAGTGATTTAGTACCTTCTCCAAAGGGGCACACACTGACATAAATAGTTAGCTCTTAGATCAGTTTCAGCAGCTAACCTGAGTCAAGTGAAAAGTTCTGTGGCAGTTTAATGTAAAGCAATGTATCAATTAGGAAAAGGTATTTCACTTTAGGTTCATATTTGCTAAATTGTAAGGTAGTTCACAAAGAAAGCGAGATTCCTAGGGTCTCTCCCAACAGTTAGAACCTGCCAGGCAGTCTTCTTTCTGAGAGCATCTCTCACTTTCCAAAGGACAGAGAGAATTGGAGAAAACGTACTTCTCATGCTGTCTTAATTTTTAGTATCTTTTAAAACCGATAAATATTTGTCTCCATATTTTTCATACAAGAAAGTACGTAGGTTAAGGGATCACACAATATTTTACAGAGCTCTGACAGCTCTGTAATGTTCTGGGACAGAGCATCCCTTTTCCCTGTTATCTCCTACTGCGGTCAGGGAACCTGAAGCAGCAAGCTGATGACTGCGTGGATAAGGTCTGCCTCCCACATTGGTTTACATATTACTTAAGGAGTACTGACATCCACTGTGGGCCAGCTCCTTTGTTTGGGCACCTCGGTGTATTGCACAAGGGTAGCACCAGCCGTACAGCGGTCTCATGACTCTATTATTCTATTATTTTCTTATTTTAATCACCATTGATGTTTAATATAGTCACAAAGTTGTACAATGATGAACACTAACCCCGTATTCACTAGAAGTCATTCCCCATAACTTCCTTCCTCTCTCCTAGCAACCATTTATCTACTTTCTATCTCTTTGGATTTACCACCTCTGGATAGTTCACGCAAATGGGGTCGTATTATGTGTGTCCTTTTGTGTCCAGCTTCTCTCACGTAGCATCATGTTTTCAAGGTTCATTCATCTTGTAGCATGCATCACTACTTGATTCATTTTTATGGCCAATTATCACACCCTTGTATGGGTGTATCACATTTTCTCTATCCATTCATCAGTTGATGGGCATTTATGTTGCTCCTACCTTTTGTCTGTTACGAATAAAGCTACTATGAACATTTGTGTACAAGTTTTCAGTTCCTTTTGTTGTATACCTAGAAGTGGAATTGCTGGGTCACATGGTAACTCTATGTTTAACTTATTGAGGGACTGGCAAAGAGTTTTCTAAAGGCACTGCCCCATCTTGCATTCCCATCAACAATGTGTAAGGATTTCAGTTTAGCCACTTCCTCATCAGCACTTATTGATCTCTTTTTATTATAGTCATCTTAGTAGGTATAAAGTGATAATCACTGTAGATTCATTTTACATTTCCCTGTTGTTTAATGATGTTGAACATCTTTTCGTGTGCTTATGCCATTTGTGTATCTTCTTTGCAGAAATGCCTATTCAGAGTCTTTGCTCATTTTAATTGGGTTGTCTTTTTATTATTGAGTTGTAAGAATATTCTATATACTCTACATACAAGTCATTCATCAGATTAATGATTTGAAAACATCAGATTTTCTTTTTGCTTTCTGATGGAATCCACTGAAGCAGAAGTTTTCAATTTGATAAAGTTCAAAATAATCTATTTTTTCTTTTGTTGTTTGTGCTTTCAGTATCATAACTAAGAACACTTCCACAAACCCAAATTCATGAAGATTTACTCCTACATTTTATTCTAAGAGTATTATAGTTTTAACTCCTATATTTAGGTCTATGATCTATTTTTAAAACTCTGTGTGTGTGTGTGTGTGCACGTGTGTGTGGTGTTAAGGAGGGTCCAACTTCATGTTTTGCATGTGGATATCCTATTGTCCCAGTACCAGTTGTTGAAAATCCTATTCTTTCTCAATAAATTATCTTGGGACTTTTGTTAAAAATGGATTGTGAATGTGAGGGTTGTTTTCTGGACTCTTAATTCACTGTGGTGAGCCTCATATCTGTCCTTATTCCACTACCACACATTCTTGTTTATTTTAGTTTTGTAGTAAGTTTTAAAATTGTGGAATTTGAGTCATCCAGGATTGTTCTTTTTCAGTATTGCTTTGGCTACTCTGCATTGCTTATATTCCCACATGAATGTTAGAGTTAGTCTGTCCATTTCTCCAAAAAGGACAGCTGGGATTTCGATAGGGATTGCATTGAACCTGTCAATCAGTTTAGGGAATATTGCTATCTTAACACTAAGTCTCCCAATTCATGAATATGGGTTTTCTGTTCATTTATTTAATTTCTTTTAAGGATGTTTTATAGCTTTCAGTGTATATACCTTGCTCTTGTTTTTATAATTTTATTTCTAATATTTTATTCTTTTTAATGCTGTTGAAAATTAAATTTTTCTTTCATTTTCAAACTGTTCATTGGGTGTAGAAATAAAATCAACTTTTGTATATTGATCTTGTATCTTGCAACCTTGATAAACTCATTTATTAGCTTTGAATTTTTTGTGGATTCTTTAGGATTTTCTATATATAAGATCATGTCATCTGCAAGTATACTTTTACTTATTTCTTTCTGCTCTTGATGCTGAAGGGTGACAGACTATGCCACCCCAAATGCTACTATGGCATAAGTACTTTGAGCTTAAGGCACTTGAAAAACAAGAGGCAAGAAGGCCATTCTAATCTCCCCTTTTATTCCTGAAAATGGGAAATTAAAACTCCCATGTGCAGGATGCCCTGTACCATGAGAAAAGCAACATTCTTTGGGAGCCAAAGATAAGAGAATTCTGTACAAACAGATCTTGTTAATAAAAATCCTCAACTTCCTTTAACCTCCCTGCATTGTTCAGTTATTTTTCCACTATTGCCTATCTTTGTTAAACCCAATAATAAAGCATGTAGGTTTTAAACAGAATTGATGTCAAAGGACATCTTTGTCTTCTTCCTGATCTTAGGGCAAAAAGCCTTTTACCGTTAAGTATGATGTTAGCTGTGGATTTTTTGTAGATACTTTTTAACAGGTTGAAGAAGTTACCTTCTACTCTGAATTTGCTGAGGGTTTTTATCATAAAAAGGGATTGAATTTTGTCAAATTTTTTTCTGCATCCATTGAGATGATCATGCAGTTTTTGTCCTTTCTGTTAATATGATATATCACATGGATTGACCTGCATATGTTGAATCAACCTTACATTCTTGGGATAAATCCAGCTTGATCCTGGTGTATAATCTTTCTTATATGTTACTGGGTTGAATTTGCTAATATTTTGTTGAGAATTTTTGTGTCTATATTCATAATGGATACTTGATTATTATTTGTAGTTTTCTTTTCTTGTGATGTCTTTGGTGGTTTGATGTCAAATAATATTGGTTTTATAGAATTATTTGGGAAGTATTTTCTCATAATTTTTTGTAAAGTCTGTGAAGGATTGGTGCTAATTATTATTTTAATATTTGGTAGAATTCGCCAGTGGACCTATCTGGGCCTGGGGGTTTTTTGTATGTGGAAAGTATTTTGATTTTTAACTCAAGCTCTTTACTTGTTGTGGGTCTATTCAGATTGTCTATGTCTTCTTGAGTCAATGTCAGTAGTTTGTATGTTTCTAGCAATTTTTCCATTTCATCTACTGTATCTAATTTGTTGGTATACCATTGTCCATAACAGTCCTTTTTAAGCATTTTTATTTCTGTAAGGACTGTAGTGATTGCCGTCATTCATCCCTGGTTTTCATTATTTGAGGACTTTCTCTTTTTTTCCCCTTGTTCAGTCTAGCCAAAGGTCTGCCAATTTTATTGACCTTTTTAATGAACCAACTTTTGGTTTTGTTGATATCCTCTATTTTTTTTCTATTCTCTACTTATTTCCTCTCTAGTCTTTATTATTTCCTTCCATCTGTTTGCTTTGGGTTTAGTTAACACTTCTCTCTCTCTTTTTTAAGTTTTTAAAAGTGGAAAGGTGCTTCTTATTTTTAAAAAGAAGCATTTATTCTCTTTTCTACCCCTTTTCTGTCCCTTCCCTAGTCCTAGTCTTATCCCCAGCATTCATAAACCTTCAACCTATAGCAGAGAAAAAGTAAGGGTTAAAATCCCCAGACTGAATCACTAGCATCATCAACCCTACTGACATGAGATCTTGAGGGTATAATTCTCTGCAACAGATGAAATTGCAGAGAAGAAAATAAATACTGTCACTGGCATTTGCCATCCTGTTTCCCCACAGTCTTCCCATTGAGCCATTGCTTCACAAATGGTGATTCAGTGAATGCTGAGAGTGAATGCAGCATGGAGAATTGCAAGGTCCTGCTGACATCCGTCAAGGTGGGGATGCAGAGTTCAGAAATCTAAGGATGCTTACTTTCCAGAGATCAAAACGGAGGGTGGATCTGTCAGCATTTGCCTTAGCCAGGAGTTAGGTAACATTAAAAGCCAAAGACTTCCAAAAGTAGATAAAGGATAGCATTCTTTTTAAATATAAGAACCTTCAGTGGTTCTTGTATGTATATTAGATTTGTATGTTATATTTAGTATATTAAACATAAATAAATAATGTACTTATTGGATGGTATGATTGTCTTGTTGAACCATGTTACATATTTATACATTTTGATTTTGGAAAGAAGAATTTGATAATTCCCATGGATAAAACACATTACATAGAAATTAGGCTAAATTCATTGTGAAAAGGCAGTGAAAACATTGCCAGTCATTAGCAAAGAACAATATGGTTGGATTTCAAAATGTGCGTGGAATTCTGTACCAAGAAGCCAAGCTCTGTCAGTCCTTCTCACCCAAGTTTTAACCAATAGCTTTAAAATTGAACCTAATCAAAACAACAGTTACTTAATTTGCCAATTATCAGCCCTGCTAGAGACTGAGTGGATGCCAGTCTGTGTATGAGTGTTGGTGCACCAGGCAAGGTTGATACTCTTTACCAATTATTTCATGCATGTACTAACAGCTGTGCTGGATGACTATAGGATTCACAGGGTGGATCAGTATAGAAATTATATATGAATGTCAAAGTGATAATACTAGGTTGTGTATGTAGAGAGAAACTCCTCATAATTGTACTGCTAATGCACCTTTCTCTAACATCTGTGATCCAGGTAAATCGTATTAACATTAGCCTTTTGATCAGTACACAGCTAGGTTTCAGGGATTGTTGATATAAGTCGTAGACCTTCTTATAATAACTTTCTATTGCCTTAAAAAGCAAAGATCCTGTTGGTTGTAATACACTGATTTCTTTAATACCATAATAATTCTTCTACACTTTGACTTTAGGAAATGACAAAAAGATGGAAGGAGAAGCTTGCTATTACTTGGGCTTAGCGCACTTGGCTGCTGGAGAGCATGAAACAGCATTAACAGTAAGTTCGAGTAGACTTTCCATCGCTGCCACTATAAATTTCTATTTCATTATATTGATTTTATTGTATGTTGTTACAAGGCCAGTGGAAGTGGGATGGGTCTGATATCAGGGTACTTATTTATAGAGACTAAAGCAGAATAGCAATATTCTAGAAGCATTAATAAATTGGTCTTATTGTTTATAGAAGATCATGTATAATCAAATACCATGAAGCGCTTTAGGATATATGAAAATTAACTATGTGGAGTAAAGTGACCCCCCCAACTCCCATATACATCACCAAGGACAAGAGGAAGTGGGTTTAAATGACAGCAAAAAGTAAATAGTAAGAGAAAAAAATATAGTAAACTTATGATTTGTGAGATTTTTCATAGAAAAGATTGTGGTCAATAAGCAATAGAGTGAATTGCGTAGCTATGGACCTTTCATTTATATTGACGGGGTGAGGGGAGGGAGGGCAGCAAAGGTGTAGGGCATTGTTGGTCTCAATCTGAGAAGCAGCCTGCTTCATGGTAAAAATCAGTGTTTGCCTATTTTATGACCAAGCTTGGTGTGTTTGACTTAAAAACAAACAAACAAAAATATGTCAAGTACTATCTTTCCCATATTATAATGGAAATTATTTTTCTTTCATTCTTCTCTTACCTCTAATTTATTGCAAGTGTAGCTTCCTAGTTCATTTCACATACATCTCATGTAATAATCCTATTTGATGCAGAGTATTGACTTTTTGTTCAGCTTTGAAGATCCCTTACTTGCTCTTTCAGATGTTCATGCTAAGTAGCATTCCTATAATTGAGCTAGATAGTTTTCCTCTATCACTCTTAACATTGGGTCATCATAGGAAACTTAGGTCTTCCCAGATGACTCTTCTGCTTAATATTTTTAAGTTAATGGTATGCATTTAGCAAAGCTGTGTTCCAGGTACCATGAGAAACAGAGAGTCCAACAAGATGCACACTTCCCTTTAGGAGCTAATTTAATGAAGGTGGCCAACTTGTAAACAACCATAATTCAAAGCAGGATGAGCAGGGGTTTTCTGAGTGCAGAAGTAAGAGTGGTTAGTTCCAACACTGAAGATCAGGGAGGTTTCATGAAAGAGCTTTTGAGTGGCAGGATTTCTACAGGGAGAAGGTATGAGAGTCAAGGATGATAGAATATTAGACACACACACATACACTCATTCAACATGAATGTAATCAGTATGTTTGAGAAGCAATGAATTGTCATGTGCAAGATGAAGATATAGGAGATCAAGTAGGAAAATCAGGTCAAAACTAGCTGATAAATTCTCTCTCTACTGTGCACATAGCAAGCACATGGCAAAATAAATTCAAGCAAATACAATAGTGTTTACACTGAAAAATAAATCTTCCTTCCACCTTTATACTCAGTCTCACAGTTCTTTTCTCAAAGGCAAATATAGTTACAAGTTTCTGGTTTATCCTTCCAAAAATATTCTTATATATACAGGGCATATAAGCACATACACAGGTGTCCATTTTGTTGTTTGCAGAATGGTAGCATTTTATACACACTGTTCTGCACCCTGAGCTAACTCCTTCCATACTAACGCATATACTGAGATGCCTCGTTTTAAAAGCTACTCATGATATCCCATGGTATAGTTGCACCATAATGGATTTAACCATCTCCTGTTGGTGGGCATTTAGATTATTTCCGATCAGTTTTTATCGCCAAGGTTGTAGCACTGAACAGCTTTGTGCCAAAGTGAGAGATGCGCTACAGAATAAATTCCTAGAGGTAGAAATTCTGTGTCAGAGACCAGATGAATTTAAAAATAAATTTATTTTTATTCTTAATCTTCTCTTCAACGAAGCTTCACAGTTTTACATTCCTACAACAATAAATGAAAGAGCCTGCTTTTTCACGAGCTATTTCTATCTTTAGGAAAGAAGGCATATATATATATATATATAATATGTGTTATTAATATTTTTCCTGGCCATTGTTTTTTGATTTTATTATGAAATTTTTCCACCCTGAGCTTTTAGTTATGTATGTGGCCAAATTTATCAACTTCTTGTATGACTTCTGGACATTCTTAGAAAAGCTATATTCATTCCAAGATTGTATTTTTAATCTTTTAGAAGGTTGGAGGGTCTGGAATGCTTTGTTGAAGAGTGTGAAGCTCATTTTTTAAGCAGTGTGGGATTTTGGATGACTTTGATGAGGCTGGTGACAAGATCTCATTAATTTACTCCCAGTTGTTTATTGAGTATCTTCTACATGACAGATAGCATTCCAGGCACTGGATCTGAACTCATTTTGGAAGATAACATTAGTGGTACAGGATAGTCTAGCATCAATGGATTGAAGAAGCAATACTTGACATCCAAGTAACAAAATTTCTTGATACTGTTACCCTTTCAGAAAAGTATTGAAATTGTTTTTCTGGAGGTAAGGAGGCCATAAACCAAATGTGAATCTCCCATTCATATGAATTATGTGACCTTGAGCAAATCCCTTAAACTCTCTAAGTCTCAGTTGCCTCATCTATCCAGTGGACTACTAAGTACTCTGCTTTTGGGGTGTTTAATGGTGGCCTTAAAAAGAGTTGTCCACTTTCTAATCCCTGGAACCTGTGAATTTTACGTTAGAAAAAGGGTCTTTGCCGATGTAATTAAGTTAAGGATCTTGAGATGAGGTGATTATTCTGCTAGATAATTGGGGTGGGTTCTAAATCCAATGACAAAGATTCTTATAAGGAAAAAGGCAGAAGGAGGTCTGATACAGACAGAGGACAAGAAGACACTCACACAGAGGACAAGTCCACGTGAAGATGGTGGTAGAGACTGGAGCTGCAGTGCCACAAATCAAGGGATGCCTGGAGCCAATAGGAGCTTGAAGAGGCAGGAAAGATTGATCCTACCCCAAAGAGAACACGGTTTTACCAATCCTTCAATTTCAGAATAGCCTTCAAAGCTATGAAACAATCAATTCCTTAATTTTTAAGCTATTGAATTTGCCTTGATACTTCAGTTTTAGGAATCTAATACATAGGGCAATTTAAAAAGCTAATTTATATAAAGTTTTAAAAGAGTGCCTTCCTGGTATAGAATAAACTTTTGATAATTATTAGCTTTTACTATTTTTACACTAACCTAGCCAAGTCTCTGGGCTTTAGCAGTAGTAGCGACGATGAAGGGAAGTAGTCAGTTGATAGTGATGAATGAAAAAGTTGTAGGGCCAAGCTGGGTGACGGAGTTACAAAGAAGAATAAGCAGTGTATCCAAGGAGGCAGAGGAAAACCAGGAATAGATGATGGCATATAAGCTAAGGAAACTGAGCTGAGTGTGTCTAAAACACAGACATGAACACAATCCTTCTGCCTCCTACCCCAGGTTTTACACTGGAATGAAAGAACTCCTTGCAGATATTTCCAGTGAGATCTCAACCCCCCTCCCCCAGGAAGGTACCTTGGTTAGAGTCAGGGTTGGTTCATTCTTGTCTTTTAACTCTCCAGCCAGGGTGAAGGCTTTGGAAAACCAGGCTGGCCATATTCCAGGACTCGGCTCCCTACTACCATCAAGAGTAGACTTTGCAGGTGGGAAGAACTAGGGACTTTCTTCAGAGCCCAGGTCTTGCTTGAGGCAGAATATTGTTGCCTTTTTGGAACACAGCTCACCCACAACTGAGGACTCACAGGAACTAAGCATAAAACTTAAGCCAGACCCGCGGACAGAGCTGAGGGGCGAATGAAGGATCCATTGTCCGGTCTGGATACAGGGTTCCAAGAGCAAAACTGAGAAGGCATCAGCTGTAAAACAGGAGTCAGGAAAGAAGTACCAAGGAGTCACCAAGGATTGGGAAGTGTGGACAGGCTGTGGATGGGGTGGAGAATGGACACAGAGCAGTTGGACCTGATTCGAGGCATGGAGATCTTCCAGCTCAGGATGATCTCAGAGGGCAGAGTGTTCTTGCTGTTGCACTGAAATTGAGTCCCACAAAACCTGACATCTTGCTTTGATTTCAGGTTGAAGGCCACATCTTTTCATTCTCTCTAATATCCTACTTGAGCCACTTTGCCCTGCTTTCTTTTGGAAATAAAAGGACATTCTTCAGACTTTCATTTGAATCTCCTTTCACTTTTTGGAGGAGGAGGCAGAGGAGAATGGTAATTAGGTTTGTTTGTTTGTTAATTAATTAATTAATTTATTTATTTATTTATTTACTTACTTACTTACTTACTTAATGGAGGCAAGGGATTGAACCCAGGAACTCATGCATACCAGGCACACACTCTCCCACTGAGCTATACCCTCCCCTCCTTTCACTTTTTCATTTCTGGACCTGGTGAAGGTGATAGTGTTACATAGTGATCTATTCTCTGTTAGTAAACTACAGCCTGTCTTTCCATCTGAAGCATGGCTTCTAGTTTACAGGATGTCTTTTAGAAACCCACACCTTATTTAGTGAATATATTATTTTAAAAATTACATGATTAATTAATAAACAGATATATTCTCCAATTTATTGATTACATATCTGCCTGGTTATCTAATCACAAAGTAAAAATTTAACATATAGAAAAAGAATTTTTCTTTTGAAATCCTTTTTTTATCCTACTTTCCCACTCTGGGCAGTATTATCAACATCATCTGCATCTGTCTGAAAGCATTAGTGGTGTTTCTGTCACAGTGTGGCAGTGGAGAGAAGTAAGAAGCCCTCAAAATCAGCTTCGTCATGTGGGGATCAGATTCGGCATTTGCCTTCCCCAATTCAGTCTATTTTTAATTCTCATCATCAATTCTGTACAGGTTTTATTCTCTTATTTGTATTTTAGGTTTATGATTTGGAATGTTCTCAGATTTTCAGTTTCTTGCCCTTTTATTCAACCACTTCCTCTCAAAAAATTTTCCCATCCAATAATGTTGTTCATCTATTTAAAGATTTTTATGTGACTTTTTTTCAGAGAAACTTGGCTTAAGAGAAACCTGTCACAAGTAAATATTCCTAATGAATGGTTCTGATGAT